ATTTGATGAACTCCTAAAAGTCATGCATAAATCTTCAATTATAATACTCTCTTTTCTTGATTCTTTCCTCACAATTGCAATGTTATCTTTAAATGTATTTTTGAGTTGTAAACCTATATGTAGTTGTAATTTTTTTATTTTTTTTTTAATGACGTGGGAACCCGCAGCTGCTACCCGAAAGTGTGCACCGGGTAAACTCCCGGTCGAATATTTGTAGTTGTAATTTTCATGCTATAAAGTGAAGCTATAGAGTAGTATCAATTTTTATTTATTTTTTTATTTATATTACAAAAAAAAAAAACTCAACGAATTCTAATTCTAAGATATTCCGTTCAAGGGGTATGAGAATAATGAATTACACCGCACATGCAACACTTTCAAGAGTTTAACTGATTATATTTTAGATTAATACAATTCCTATAAATTATGACAATCTCTCTTAAGAAGCAAATTTGGTTGGCTAGTAGAATTCTAGTTCGCAAAATATTTATGCAAATTTATCGAGATTAATTTGCAGCCTATTAAGTTCAGGCGTCGGGGCATTATCCAGAGCGCACTCGTTCGGGTAACGACTGCAGATTCTTACATTATCAAAAAATAAATAAATAAATAAATGTTACATCAATGATTCATCAAGTAAGCAACAAGTCCGGCCTTGTTTGGATTTTTGCGCACGGGATCGTTGGTTCCAGAAGGGTACTAGTCCCTTGTCAAACACATATATATCTTGTGTACTATAAACAAGTCTTATTTCATTATTGGTAAAAAATATCTTATAAATTGTTCCATAATGTAACAGATATCTATAAAAATGAATTTTCTAGCACGATTTTCACTTATATGGCTTCATCCTTAAATTCCTAATGATTTTTTTTCCCTCTAATTCCAAATTTTTGACTTGGTTAAACTCCAAAATGTCGGTCACGTCAGCTCTAGCATATAATAAAATCCATTTTAGGTATGTTCATACATATGTTTGCTCTCATTTATTCACACTTTTGTTGCATCCTTTGCAAAACTAGCATCGTTATTCTTGGATTGATACATCGTTATTCATTGCGTACTTTGTTTGTTGATCGATGAACATGAATAGTTTCTAAACTTTACTTTCCTCGAATATCTGGATCTTAACATATACATATACATATATATATATATATTAAACATATTTTATATATTTATGTTAAGTAAAACCATATGCTATTAATGTATTTCACCCATAAATAATATACCAAATAAATTTTGTATAAAGAAGAGCTCAATTCCTTATCATATCCCAAAATTTGTATGTATTCCCTTTCACTTTTCATTTATATAAAACAATAATACATTCACTTTCAGTCATCTCCAAGTTTGGATATGACCAGTGCAATTTATAAAGTGTGAATAGATTAATCTAATCATTATTGGAAAGCATGCATTCTTCATCACTATATATAATTAAGCATATTTTGGAGTCGATCGAGCCGCCCCATACATATCCAACGTTAGTATCTCAGAAGATTCAAACAATAATTAACATAATGAAATGCCACAATTATTTAATTAAAGCAAACGAATGATTAAATGAATAATTAGTTATTTATTTGTACACATCAATATACAACCACCAACTTTGTAGCACTTAAACGTTATATATATATATATATATATTACATGATTTAATTAGTACATATAAATATATAAAAATTATTTGGTGAAGGAAAAATTAATCGAAAACTTTTATTATTGTTTTGTCTGGGGGATTGGATTGGATTTACACTTTTCATCCAATTTTTTCTCCCCAAAAACATCAAATCAATCACCTATTTTTCATTTTTTTTATTATACTAAAAATCAATTTTACATTCAAAACATCACATCAACACCTATTTATATAACATCATACAACTATTCAAATTCAAAATTTTTACTATTCAAATCCCAACTCAAAATCCAAACTCCCAAACAAACACACCCTAAACAGAAAATCTAATGTATGCGTATATAAATATATATATCCGGAGGTTTTGGTGTGGCGCTTAAGGTGGAGTTTTAGCCGGTGCTTAAGGATATTGTAAAGATATAAGACAACATTAACTTATTCATAAAAGGACAGAGATTCAATTTTAAAAGAGAAGCAAAACAGCTACCATCCAAAGACATCGAAGGAAAGAATGGTTTTCTTACTAGATCCATTGTGGAATTGAAGAAGAGGTACGTAAGATGCAAATGGCTGTCCACAATGATCCAATATTGTTGCATAAAAATTAAAAAAAAAAAGTATATACATACAAATCATTTCATTATAATAATATGCAGACAGTAAAAAGTATATTGAATATTTTATTCTAAACAGTCAGAATTGAGATTTATAAATTAAAAGCCTTATTACATTCTAAGATCATTCTCCTTTTGTGTTTAAAGTCATTTCAAAGTTTGGTTAAATATAATCTTCAAAAAAATATACAGCTTTAGTTTAGTATTATACCCTCATAAATTAAATACTTTATCCAAAGCAGATTGGATTGTTTTTACAAATAATTCAATAATATTGTTTTGCTTTAAGAAATATATTATCGACGGTAAAATAGCTTTTTAGCAACGATAATATCTTATTTCCATCAAACTTTAAGAAAGGATATCACTTGTATATATAAGACTCAAATTATAATTGTTCATATAATCCGTGTAATATTTTGGTTATTTTGTATGAAATAATTTTGTGCACGTTAATATGCAAAGAAGACTTATATACGTTTCAAAAATGATATACAATTGTTATCACTCGGTTGGAGATTTATTCAATACACACTGAAAAAAAAGGTGCTCCAAGTTCTTGCATCATAACAAAATATGATATGCAATTGCCTCCTAAAATGCAAAATTTGAGTATTTTAATATTTATAATTAGAAAATGATATACATACTCATATTTTACATAATAATAAAAATAAAAATCATTAATATGACGACTAATTTAAAAAAGAGTTTTTTCTTTTTTTTTTTTTTTTGCTCAATTGGGATTCAAACACATGAACTTTTTACAAGTAGTATATATATATATACTGCTATTCACATTACCTTCATAAATGTTCGATTGATTAGTTAAAAATAAAAATTAGTTCGAATACAACATTTTGAAAGATTTTGATAATATTCACGATAAATAATCTAGAATTATAATAATGCTATAACATCACCGAGTAAATTTAGTATAAACTCATTAGAAAAAAAAATAAAGAAAAAAAGTATTATTACTAACAAGATTAGCCAAGCTCAAATACAAATTAAAAACCAATCTATGGAAGATTGAAAAATAACTTAGCTCAAAATACAAATTATAAACCAATCAATGGAAGATTAAAAAAATAATTATCAATCGAAACTAAAGCTAGCTAGTTTTATACAAGCCAAGCTCGAATCATATATAAATGAGCTTAACTAACTCACTTGTAAAGTTGGCCAAAAGAAGCTGACTGTATAATCACCATACCATAAGGAAGTACTAGGTTCATTTTTATTTATTTATTTATTTTGGCGCACTATATAAATTCTTGGATCAAACATAATAACTTGCAAATTAAACTAGCCGATCGAGTTAGCCACACTAGACAAATTAAGTCTGTGTCGACCAAGAAGGCATTAGCCTAATATAAACTAGTGACCTCATCGTCAATATCATACTATACTACACCAATTCTGTCATCCCTTATCGGGGCTTAAGGGATATTGTATGGTATAAGACACCATTAACCTAGTCATAAAAGGACAGATTCAATTTTAATAAGGAAATAATTTAACCAGCTACCATTTAAAGGCATCTACTAGGTAGCTAGGTTCAATTTTTATTCTCTGTGTTGGTGATTCGAAACCAATAATGTGCATGGATGATGCATCATAGCTGTCCAGCCACTCTATGGATACATTCATGAATAAAAAAATAAAAAAATAATAAACAAATTATTAAACAAATTTGTAGCAGCAATAAGAAAACCCTAGAAAAGGTACTGTTGTATATATATATACACATATATTAGAACTCATCAGTAAGATGAATATAATGTGTTCTTGGAAGATTTGCTTGTGCTTCATGTTAATGTGGGGAATGGTAGTGATGCAATTGGAAGCTCGAAAATATGGACTCTTTGGGAGGGGACTAAGTGTAAGAAAGATTTTGCTCGAAGAAGACGGAGACAATAGTGATGCTGGCTTAGATGGCGTGCGAAGGATCATCAACAGGCCGAGCCCCGGAGGACCCGACCCTTACCATCATTTCAATATACCAATGCCGTAAACAAAGTGTGTGTGTGCGCGCTCGCGCATGTGTTGTTTTTAATGAAATTAAAGCACTAGCTTGTAATTGTTGGACTTCTAGGCGACAAGCGCGTTCTAAGAACTAATCATCGACATGGATGATGAGAAGTCGCTACCTTGATTGGAGCGTGTAAGTACTAATAAGTTGTAGTATAATTTCATTTCAATTCGTATATCAAATTATCATTTTTTATCTTATATTTATTTAATATTATTGAAATATAAAAATAAAATTTTCTATTTCAATAGTAAAATCTTATACATCAATAGTATAATACATATCATATTCAAGAGTTCTATAAATCTCTCAAACAATATAAATATTATAATTATAATATATATATATATTCCAAATATATCGTAACAAATGTGTCATCGCAACTTAGTTCCTATAACACTTAACTCCCCTTGTGATCTACCTACAACTATTCAATCACAACTCTATACCTCAAAGAAGTATAGCTTTAGTAACCATCTTTCCATGCTCTATTTTAAACCATTTCTTCAATACTAGTCTTCTACTTAGTTCAATTTTTACATCTAATCTTTGTGAGCAATCTTTCCATTCTTCCCAAACAAACAAAGTACATCAATCATGCTTCAATATTTATATTTATATCACATTAATAAACCAATGATTCCTCCAAGGCATGACCCCCCTAACCCTAATTCAAAACAAAAAATATAAAAATAAATTCCTCCTTTCTCTTTCCTTCCCCTTCATTATATTCCAGAACGGAATATATAGCGCGTCAATGCAACGCGCCAACGGCACATCCGCGTGCGCATCTTGCAAGCACCAACGCAAGAAGTGCATCGACAAATGTGTGTTGGCCCCATTCTTCCCGGTCGACCGGACCCGCGAGTTCCAAGCCGTGCACAAAGTGTTCGGCGTTAGCAACATCACGAAAATTGTGACGAACCTCAAGGAGGAGGACCGGAGGAGGGCAGTCGACTCGCTCATATGGGAAGCCTTGTGTCGCGCAAAGGACCCTATCCTCGGCCCCTACGGCGAATACCATCGGGTGTGCGAGGAGCTGAGGCTCTACAAAAATCAGTATCAGATTCTCCACCATGTCGTGCCATCGACACAAGGGAACGTCGTGTACAAAGGAGCTGCGACGGCTGCGCACGGCCTAGTCGGGTGGGGGAATAATGCCAATGGAAATGGCAAAGTTGTCGCCGGAAATGGTGGCGGCGGCGGTGGTGCCTCCGCCGGCGTCAGCGTTGCTTACAACAACAACAGCAGTGGATTTCATACGGCAACGGTAGCAGCAGCCATGAGGGCAGAAAGTGACAATGGATCTGCTTTGATTCTACCTGAACAGCATTTGAGGAATGGATTCAATCAACACTACTTCCTCAATACTGGTAATTAATTTATATCATTAATTTATAATGACATATTTGATTAATATTGAAGTAAAAGTGAATTATGAAATTGGGCAAATCTTATACTTTCATTTCTTAATAACCATTTTTTTTGTTTAATTTATAATGATATATTTGGCTAATCTTCATATAATTAATTACAGGTCAGTACAACCCAATGGATGCCAAATCTGTGGAAAGCACACTATGGGAAGGCAGTTCATAAATTAATTGTTGTTGTGACATTATTGTATCTTTTATTTATAATGATTCATTGTAATGGGATAATAATATTCTTGTATAATCTAAAAATAATCCATTTTATTTTTTTAATAAAATAATGCAATTTATTTCCCCATTCGGATGTAATTTGAAATTCTGAATGACTGCTGGAGAATTGTTTTTGTACATATATATATCAATTTTATTTTATTTTTTTGAGAAATACTTTGAAGGATGGAGATTATGAACAAAAATGTTTGCTTTATGTATCAATTTGATTCTTTGTTAAAATTTAAATTTCAATAATGTTGAATCTCGAGTGGGTAAACTGGTCACACCACGAAAAATTTGGACTCAGACCTTAGAAATATGCACGAAAGGAAGTTTGGGCCAGACAGACAAAATCCAAATAAGAATCTTGGGCTAAACTTTTTTTAAAAAATACAAAATATACTAATAAATATATAATACAATATAATAGTAATAAATTATAAATCTTTAATTTCAAAGTTCCAGACTTTTTCTATCGTATTATCACTGGTAAACTTCGTGGTTCTCATTCTAAATTAAAGAAAATCATTTAGTGACACACTTTGGGTGTGTTTGTTTGAGGGATTTGTTTGGATTTTTACTATTCATTCAATTTTTTCCCCCCAAAAACATCAAATCAAACATCTATTTTTTATTTTTTATATTATATTAAAAATCAATTTTACATTCAAAACATCACATCAACACCTATTTATATCACATCATACAACTATTCAAATTCAAAATTTTTATTATTCAAATCCCAACTCAAAATCCAAACCCTCAAACAAACACACCCTTTAAGAAAATTTATAAAATAAAAGTTATCATGGACTAAATTTTCTTGAATTAAAATTTCTTAAACAAAGTTAGTCGAAGAAACAACTTTGTGAAAGAAAGTAATTGAAATCAAAATGAATGCAAATACCAATGGAAAGATGAGAGTTTGGTAACAAATTGCATTTAGTATTTGTATTTAAATAATACTAATATATTATTTTATAAACTGATACATACGGGAAAATTTTTATATTAATTTTTTTTTTTAAATCAAAGAGAGTAGAGTTTCATACTATGAATGATCCAGATGATTGAAAAAAAAAAAAAAAACCAATTCATTCGTGTGTGTATAAATATTTGTTTGATTCTCTTTGATGCTCTAAATACAAAATTGGCTAAAATTTATAGACAGTTGGTTGCCGATCCGAAAATTTAACAAATTTTCGAGCTCACAATGATAAGGGCTACGAAAAAATGATGAGTATAATCGATGTTCTTAGCAACAGCCGCTTGGGAAGTCGCTGGTGTGATTGGGCCGGCCCCAAAAACCCGAGATCCGCTCGAATTTGTGGTGTTCAACAGAGAGGATGTTGTGCTACACATGTTTGTCCACATATCACAATTATTTTACTATTAAATTTTTTAGCATATATGTGTTTTCAAATCCATTAAGGTGAATTTTACTTTCTATACATTAATTTCATTTAAAATAAATATATTCATAGGCCAATTTGATATAAAATATCAAAATTCAGATTATAAAATAAAAATAAAGACATTAGGAAATATACACAAAGTTTTGCAAAAACTTTATTGAAAATCTTCACAAATTATTATTATTTTGAAAATGATCATAGGTTCTAACAACATAGATATTCATATATAACCTAAATGCTAAATTTTTAAATATATCAAATTAAATATTTTTTTTTTATATATATAAAATTTCCAAAATTTGTTATCTAAACGGAACAATTGCTTTCTTTGAAAGGTATAAAAATAAATGAATAAAATTTGAATAAAAGTTCACTTCAAATTAAACTAATATGTATGGACAAAAATAGATGAAATATTTTGAAAGTGTAAAGAAAATTATTTTAATGAACATGTATTTTAACACGAATATCTAAACTATCTTATATGAAAATTATTTCATACAGGATTTTTTGTCAAAATAATTAATTAAATCATTTTATCTTTTATCTTTATTTTGTTATTTCTGAATTTTATGTGCTTATATATAATCCTTATACATATTGAAATTAAAAATTTTAAAAAAAAATCAAAATTAAAAATCACCTGATGGATGGATAGCGACACGTGGCATAACCTGTAAAAGAATGTAACATCATCATCACGGCCTAATAAACGCCTTTAATGTGAACATATGACTACGATGGACAAAAAATTAATTTAAATATAAAATATGAAATAAACTAAAGATGAGCAATCATTTAAAAATACATTATTGAGAAGGTTGTGATCATAATATTTCGAAGTTTTGAAAAGTCTTTAAAACAATACTATAGAAATTTGATAATTTTTCTATTGTCTAAATATATGTTTTTTTTTTTTTTTTTTTTTTTTTTTTTTTTTTATAATAAAGAAGTATTATTATAGTAATATTTATATTCGCAGATTCTAACTTTAGTTTTAACCCCAAGTGCCTTTAAATCCTGGCCGTTGATTCTAATCTTATAGCACTATAAAAAATTAGAAAAGGAAGAAATAAATAAAAAATGAAGTCTTGGCAAGAATGGGTATGACAAAGACCAACTTTAATTAGTTAAGCTCGATCCTGTTAAGGTTGAATCTAGAAATTAAATTCATGGAGGAGAAAAAATTCATACTTGGATCGGAGCTCGTGGTGACGGCGGAGCCGCCAAAATTGCAGCTGGTCGGAATCGGATTTTTCTGATAGTAAGAATTGAATGCATAGGACGCGTGGTCGCGCACCGTCGTCGGACTGTAGCAGCTCCCGCCGGGCTGGATGGCGGAGCAGTCAGCGCCGCCGTGACCACACGCGTAGTCCAACGCCGCCTGCAATGCCGCCCGCGACACGGCCTGGCTCGCCACGCACCAGTTCTTCGACGGCGTACCACTCGCCGCCGCCGACGACGACGGCGACGGAGTAACCACCGGATTCCCCGGGTTGACGATGGTCGGGGTGTCCCGGCCGGCGTCGGTAGGGTTCAGTACGGCGGCGGCGGCGGGAATTGACGGGATAATTGTGGTCATCGGAGTGGTGACGTCGTCGGGGAGCGGCGCGGCGGCGGGCGGGAGGAGGAGGAGGAGGAGATGGGCTGCGAGAATGTGGATGAATGACGTCGGGAAATTTAGGGTTTTGGTTTTGTGGGTCATTATTGCTTGTGTGGATGTCAATGTGTTTTGAGGTTTTTGGGTTTTTTAGATTTAAATTTGGATGGAGATGGAGATGGAGATCCGACATAATATAGATATAGATAGATACACATATATGTGTATGTAGTGGTAAGTGGGAGTGTGGGGTTGAAGTTTGATGGCAGTAATGATGGCGTAGATATTGCGATTTTCACTTTTTGCCTTTTTTTTTTTTTTTTTTCTTTTTTTTTCTTGCTTTATCCAGCAATGATGCTTAGTGATCATAAATTTTTATTACATGTGTCTTTTATAGGTAAATAGAAACCACTCTTTAAAAATTAAGATGCTATGTACGTAAAACACGAGTGAATTTATGATTATGTGATTATAAGTTTAATTTGTTTTTATATTTATGAATTTTGTTTGTTACATATAAGCATACCACGTAAAAAAAAAAAAAAAATTTGAATTCACGATTATAAGTTTACTCAATCACCTCATCCTAAAAATTATATTAATGCAAAGTTGATGCAATTAGTTCATTAGTTGAAAGTCAACTTGAAAATGCATTTATTTTAATTTATTTTGTCTCTTTTGTGACCCTACCATTTTATGGGTAACAATATTCTTTTGACGTTTATTGTTTGGAATATTTTTAAATTTAAAAACGAAAATATATTAAGAAATATTAATAGTAAGTTTATATATATATATTATAAAAGTGTATTGATTAATATCAACAACTCATATATGTTGATATTTTTCATGTAAAATGTGAAGATATTTTTATTATTGTGTAGATCCATATTTACTAGATTAGAAAAGAAAAAAAAATAAAAAAATCCATTGATAATATACCATTCAAGATATAGATAAGAAATTTATTGAATTGAACTTAATAAAACCAACATATAAAATATAATAGTTTAATATGGTCATAAAATTAAACGAGTACATGAACACAACCTTAACATTAAAAATTGATTTAATTGGGCATTGGATGAGATCTTGCCATATCAATTTTGATATATAAATTCATGTACTTTTGACCAATTGGTATCATATAAATACATATGCTTTTTGACCAATTGGTATCCAAACTTGTAGCTAGCAACCTAGCTAGTAATATAATATGCATATTATATTGAATGGTAAATTGTTTTTTTAGTCCCGTTACTAGATCCTCTTATCATTTTAGTTCCGTAAGTAGAATCTGTCGCAAACTAGTCCCATGAAGAATTTTTGCTGTTTTAGTCCTCCGGCGCCGGAGATGCCCGCGTGGCTCGCCGGAGGTGACATGTCCGCCAGGTGTCGCTGACCTGGTGGACACGTGGATTTTTTTTATTTTTTTTCATTTTTTAAAATTTTTTTTAAAACTTATTTTTAATTTATTTTTAATTTTATTTGTATTTTTTTATTTTTTATTTGTTACAATTAAAAAAATTAAAAAATGAAAAAAAAAATCCACGTGTCAGCCAGGTGTCGCTAACCTGGCGGACACGTCACTTCCGGCGAGCCACGCGGGCGTCTCCGGCGCCGAAGGACTAAAACAACAAAAAATTTTCACTTATAAGACTAGTTTACGATATGCTCCACTTACAGAACTAAATGATAAAGGGTCTTAGGGACTAAAAAAATAATTTAGGAATAACACAAAATGGTGTTTTAAATTTTTTATTTTAATTCTTCAATATGTACTCAATGCTAGTGAGAATTTAAAGAACTATTTACTTGTACTTTTAGGTGAACTTTTATAATATTTATCAAACCTTTGATTCCATGAACAAAGTTACATGAATGATCAAAAGTCATAATAGTGATTAGTGGCCATTCCACTATTATTACTTTTTGTTCTTACTAATTCAATAATATATATATGAAGAGACGTTGCTTGTTACACCAACTCGATCACTCTTTACGATTTATAATTATTTTGAAGAGTCTAAAATGGCGTCAAATAATAATTAAAATATATTTAAACTCGTGTAATATTACATTATTTTTTCAACGATGATTTCACTCGCTAGATGATTCTTTCCGCAACAACTCCAAAGCTTCCCCGGCTCGCAACCCCGTCGAGAGCCTTAGCTTGCGATAATCTTCCACCGTGAAAGGGCAAAAGAGCCGGCCGCGCTCTACATCCACTAGTTCAACCGGGGCTTCGACTCTCCCTTCCTTGGGTCCTAAAACAAACAATGCTATTGAAATTCTTGTCGTCGGTTCTCTACATTGCACGCGGTGCTTAACATTGCACAATCTTCCATTGCTCCAAGCCTACATATATACGACACAATGTAGTTTGAAACATCCTTTGAAGCGAAGAATGTATCGAATCATTGTTTCAATAAAAATAAATTAAAAGTCGCGCTCACTTTTGCAGTATCGCCAAAATTTACTACAAGCGACCCTGGCAAGGGATCCACGGCTATAAATTCTCCGGATCGCTCGTCCATCACCTCTAGGCCGCCGACACATTCATCGTCTTGTAGGATTGTTAGAAAGCCCGAATCCGTGTGAATTTGAACTCCGGTTAAGCCGACGCTTTCGCGCGTAAAATTATACTTGTTGATTCTAAATTGGCATGTCCATTCTTTGCATAAATCCAGATTTAAACCTAAACTTTTGCAAAGTTTTTGACCTATCTCAATGGCTAGCTCTTGAATGGCTTCCGAGTACTTTTGGATAATCTCTCTATAATAAAGATAAATTTTTTTTATGAGCATATAAATGTATTTAATCACTACACAATCAATTATACATTTTTGGTAAGTTTAATCTTAACCTGGTAAAAATTCGAATCGAAACTGTAAGTTAGAAAAATAAGGTAAAATAAAAAGCAGTAAATTAGGGTAAAAATGGAGAAGAAATTAAATTGAGGAAACCTTTGATTGGGAGAGAGATGGAGCTGAGAGCAGAAGTGATGAAGAGCTTGAGGAGATCCGACGTCGTAAAGCCCCAGCGCTTCGTACAGCGGATTAGCTTTTCCCGGCGGGACGTAGCCGCTGCCGGCGATGACATCTTTGTTCCTCGCCTTAATTTCCGGCGGGAGATCCAGAAGGCATCTCACTGTGGCCTTCATCTCCGCCATTAACGCCGCCGGAATTGGGTGGTTGGTCAGGCGGAAGCACCCCCATTCCTCCGACGCCGGCAGAAGCTCCGATTGGAGCTCATCGAAATCTATGATGGGGGGCGCACCCATTTCCGATTGGGGATTCTGCAACTGCAACTGGTGGATCGGAAATTAAAAAGTTTATTTATTTATTTACTATTGCAAGATATATGGAGAGGATTCCTATGTTTATTTATTTATTTAATTTATTAGATAAATGCTCTCTTTGACTTCAATAATGGGAACTGTTATTATGTTAATAATAGCAAAAAAAAATTAAATTGAATGCTACAATATTATCTTACTTGGAATACAAGCATGAGACAAAATACATTAAATTGAATGTTTCAAATTCGTATGTTGGAGTCAAATGATAAGATTATAGTCTGCAATAACAAAGTCATCAATGACCCATTTTTTAGCTCTACTGGATAGTATTTGAACTTTTCTATAATTCATTAATATATACATATATACATATATATATGTGAGATATATATTATTGTCACTTTCAATCATATATTGTATGTATTATAATATTATATATTGTCTATTTATAGTGTCATTATATTTCTTGTATTGTTAACACCATAATCTTTCTATCTATATATATATATTTGGAGTTGCATCTATAAATAGGCATACATACATAACCTTAATTGAAACCTCACTAACTCATAAATGTTTTGCTGTCTGCGGACCAGAGGCCGCGGAGAGGGAAAATACAACGACCCACCCTCCCTCGTAAACGCCAGACCTCCGCCGCCTGCTGCTACGGCGGCGCCGTACGGCTACGACCGGAAAATTGCAAAGTCAACGGGCAACGGAATAAAGGACGGGAACATGGTACTGCTAGCCGGAGGGGGCGCCGCCTTGGCTGCAACAGCGGCTACCGTAGCTGTGGCGGACGCTGCTAATCCCGACCGCAATAATGGCGGCGGGGCGGCGGGTTCCAGCGCCTCCCAAGGCTGCTGCTGCGGTGGGGGAGATGGAGGAGGATGCGGCGGCTGTGGTGGCTGCGGTGGCTGTGGAGGTTGATTGATTAATTTGCCAAAATAATTAGGTATATAAAAGTATGTAATATTATTACTGCTGATGGTGCTGAGAGTTGATAATTCGCCGGCGCCGGCGATTAACAGTTGGTCGGCAGCAACTTGTATTATCAATTTACTTATTTTGTTTCATGATGATGAGAAAAGAAGTCGTGGAAACATTATTAGCTTTTATTGGTCAACCAAAGCTTATCCTAAAGTGGATAAAAATATGCACTGCACTTGAAAGAGTCAAAGCTGCATTTGTTACGAATTACAGAAACGAATTTGGATAGAAAGATAATTAACGAGGAATTGAAAATAAAAAATAATTTGAAACAACTTTTGATCTTCAATTAAACCGAATTTTTCAAAGGATGATGCAGAAAACACAATATATAAATATATATGAATATACATGCGGATCTTGCGTTCATCTGGCAAGTCGACATAGTTCGAATTTGATCGGATCAACATATGTCATGCACGTAACCAACATATATTTACACATAATATAATATATGCTCGAGTTATAATATAACATATGCTAATATAATATATATTGTATTATGAATATGTTGCGACATATATAAATATATGTTGATTACCTGTATAACTTATGTTGATCATACTCTCATACATATATGAGCGTTGATCAATCAGAAACAAGAACAAGACTATGATCAAAACCTGCAGCAGCTTGTAAAACCTCCGAACCCTCCAAATGTTCGATCAATGCAGGTTCAGCTTCATCCGCCGAGCTACCCAACCCGAGCCGGCCATTCCTGCCACACCCCCAAGCCCACGCCTCACCATTTTTCGTCACAGCGACTGAATGCACCCGTCCACCACAAACAGAAACCGGCTCTTCATCAGCCAGACCACCATACACAACCCCGGGTACATTCTCCGGACCCTCTCTCCCAAGCTGATGATTTCCATTCCATCCCCATGTTGTCAAAACACTCGATCCATCTTTTCCTTCGCCAACTGCCAACGAGTGCCCGAGCCCAGATGCTATAACAATAGGCGACATGGCTGTTGCATCTACATCCACAGGATACAGTCCTAAATCTTCGTCTACTCTGCCTAACTGGCCGTATGCATTGCTCCCTCCACTTAAAAGAGTGCCATTACCTAAATGTCGATCACCCCATTAGCTTATAACTAAAAACATTTTCTACAACACTATTCCATCAATCTTAAATGATCCCAAAAATCGAATTCTGCTACTAACATAAAAGCCATTCCAATTAAAAGCGCAATTTCGTCTGTATAAAACAAATGGATGGCTGTAATGACTTACGGCATAGAACTAAGGAATGGTCGAGGCCACAGGCAACATCCACAACTTCAACATTTCCCAGTTCTTCTATCAAAGTAGGTTCCCAAATGATCGGCATGTCCTTTTCCTTCTCGATTGCTTCTACAACTAATTTCTCAGCTGATTCGATCATTGACTTAGAATTCCGGTATGAATTTACCTTTTGGGTAACTGAATCCAATGGAGAAGCCTCCAACAATGTACTGATCTTCCCCAATCTACCATCAGCATAATAACCCCACCCAAACAATTTCCCACTCTTTGTCAAGGCAAGAGTGTGTCCCCACCCTAGTGAGACCTGCAACACAATAAAATCGAACGTAAGGAGTTTGAATCTCCATTGCTGAATGGACAGTTCAATAAGTTAAATTGCAATTCAAGAAGCTAGTTTGTCGAATTAGGACTTTACATAGCAATAGGTGTGTATCACCTCAAGTGATTGATTTTTATATTGGATTTGCTACAAGTACACCTTAAACATTACTACCTTAAAGATGAACGAAGACCACCTTAACTATCTCGTGTCCAACAAGTGCTTCGACTCTAGCTGGTAAAACAGCCTCAGTGATGTTTTGTCCGAGACCTAATTGTCCACGCTTGGATTTTCCCCATACCCACAAACTGCCATCGTCTCCTACGGCAGCCGATGCCACACCAGATGCAAATGCATCTCGAACCATCACTGTATCCAATCCTTCCACTCTTTGAGGTTTGCTCCATGACTCCCTAAACAAAAAAGAAAATGTAAATGTAAACCAGAAGAAGCATTATGATATATGTATCTAGTTGCAACAGCAAATTGATAAGAATTCAGAAATTATTCTTAAAAGCCCTAAATCCCTAAACACTTGCTTTACCAATCAGATAGTGTTTTTTGGGAAAAACCTTTGGGAGATCTCCCGTCGCCCAAGTTGGGACTCATTGTTACGGCCCCAAGCCCAAACATGCCCCTGAGAAGTGACGGCGAGGGAGTGGTAGTGACCGGCGGCGATGCGGCAGACGTCGGGGGGTAGGTCTGGGACAGGAGTTGGCTCATAAGCGTCGCAGCCAAAGCCTACCGGGGAACCTTCCAGGCCTAGCGCACCCTGAGATCCATCTCCGAAGCTCATCACCGTCGTCTTGGTGGATAACCATCGCCGAATCAGCCCAATTACGACGCCCGATTGGGATCGGCTCCGCCGGGAAAGCATCGTGATTCAAAGTTCTTACCTTTTTGTTAATAGTCGTATATTGTTATATTTTAACAGATCGAAGCAAACGACACTTTATACATAAATAAATAAAATCGCGCTTCGATTCCATGAATAAGAAATGACAATTATGAGAAATCCCCGATGAACACTTGTGCTACTACCAAATCACAGCATATAACATAACCAGAAAAGTTTAGGCATAAACAAACACCACCATTTCCATTCAATTCAATTCCAAGGACTGCCTGAACTATCTATTTATCAATAATAATAATAATAATAATCTAAAATCACTCTTTCAATAAGTGCAGTGCAGATAAGATTTTCAAGATCTCCATCATCATCATCCATCATGTGATTTCTGAGTCCCTTTGCCTTGCTGAATCTGCTGAAGCAGTGCAGCTGCCAGCTGCAGCGTCGCCTGCAGCCGTTTCTGCGGATCTCCCTCACCGTCATCCTGCCCGCCGCCGCCATTCTGGAACTGTTGGTTCATTTGAGGTGGTGGCGGAGGCGGCGGTAGCTGCTGCTGCACTTGACTGTACTGCTGCTGCTGTTGTGCGAATTCAGAAGGCACCTGGTGATCATTCTGCATTTCATAATTAGGGGGCGCCATGTTGTACGGGTAACTGGATTGGTTGATGTTTCCCAATGGTGCATACTCTGCAGAACCTGCCATGCCGACGAGTTGCCCCTGTTGCCCGAGAAGGGAGGATGCCAGCTGAGCCACTTGCTCCGCCGGGAAACTTGCAAGAGGCGTGGATGCAGGCATAGAAGGCCTTTCCGAAACTGAAAACTTACTGTTTCCACTCATCTGAGTATTATCAGGTGTGTAGTTCCGACTTGCCATTGCAGAGTAGGGGTGATCCATGGAGGGAGGTGGCGGGAGGTTTGATGGCGGCTGCACGGTAGCAGAAGTTTTAACAGCCACATTTGAGGTCTGCATATCATGGGCCGACCAGTTTGGTTGCCGAGCATAATCGTGCCCCTGTGCAGTTCCGGGCTGCATTGCAGACACAGAACCAGAAGACAAATTCACAGATTTGTCATCATTAACAAACTGTTGATGCGACAAGTAATGCCCTTGAGGTGAGATCGGCTTCTGGTACTGTAAATCACTCTGGAAAGTAGGTTCTCTGCCGTATTGCTGTGGGAGGGATCCAAAGCTGGAACCTGGGGTATCTAATCTTAAGACAACACCTGAGATGCTGAGTTTCCCCGGAACTTTAAGAACTTTCTCGGAGAAATCGGATGGAGGGACAAGGAATAAGGTGGTCGCCTCGTTCAGCTTTGCAACTGCAGCACGCTGCCTGTCGCCAAGATAGTTCATGAACTCATTGTAGTATGAAATGTCCGGATCGTTTGCAGGGACAAAAAAGACAACCCAAGCACTAACTGCTTGATAGTAATGCTTTGAGAGCATGTCTAAGGTTGTCCTTGCCGTGCAGTCTAGATATTCAGGTCTGCAGCATTGGAAATGTTTTCATGAGTAGCTGTCGGGGCAATAGACAAAAGAAGGCAAGAATAGAAGATTTGTAAATTATGCTAAACTCTGAGAATCCTAATACAAACAAGAGCACATCTACCATATAGCTAGGAAAAGATTCAATGGAAGCTTGAAATGGAAAATTGTATGCAAGACATTATAACAAAACCACACTTACAGAACCATGTCTGGAGGTTTTCCAACTGGAAAGCAGCGAGCCCGACAAATAGGATTTCCGCCCTTAGCTATAACACCCTCCCATTTCCACACTTCTTTTGAAGACGATTCTCTTCTTTCAGGGCTCAATCGTCTTCGATCAACAGGAAGCGGGGGCATCGAACCAGCCTGGTAATCATCGCGCAAGGCACTCCAGTGATCATCCCTTTCCCCGTGTACTTGTGCTGGAGTTATGCTCGATAGACGCTCGGGAACTGGTCTATATCCAGAATTTCTGGAATCATACATTTTTTCATGGCTCTCAGATTGGGGAATGTCATGGGGGAGGATATGCTTTGCTTTATCCAGATCTGAGAATGGATATTCTGGTAAATCATTCTCGGGAGGGAATGAACTTGTTTTTAGTTTCTTCGAACCAGGCAATAGGGAAACGTCTTCAGGCAAACCCCATGGATCGTCATAGATTGGACCCTGTCGAGGAAAACTGGGAGGGGAGAATTCGCGCATGCGGGCACCACCATAGTTTCTTAGAGGACTATCAGGATGTTCATAGACATTTCCAGGTAATCGCATATCGGGTCCTTGCCCCAGGTATCTCCTACGTTCAAGGGCATCATTGCTACCAGACCATAAATTATTATCCCTACCTATAATATTGCGATCACCAGGATCCAGATTAGAGGTGTAAGGGGATCTAAGACCAGGATCCTCAGGCATAATCCCGAAGTTCCTATCATGTTGGAAACGCTCAAAAGATCCAGCACGTTCATATGATCCTACATGTGGTGAAGGAGGGCCATTTATTGAACTTCTTTCCCGATTGGATGTCCCTGAATCACTCTTAGCAAAACATATATGTACGCGAGGATTTCCAAACAATTTTCCCTGCAGTGTTTCTTTAGCCCTGCACGCTGCCATCACCTTTCTAAATCGAACAAAGGCATAAGTGCGACCAGGAAATGTGGTTATTTTCTCAATTTCTCCAAATGGGGAGAAAGCCTTTCTTAGCACAAATTCATCCACTTTTAACTGAGCAGGAAATCCAATCCATAACACTTCACTGGGATCTGCATCTTTGTCGCTCATCTTGGATTTCTTCATATGTGAAGTCTCAGGGCTAGGTCGGTGATCTCTAGCATCCCTAGGGGAGAGTGGCGAACCTCTTGCCTTGGAGTGTTCATCCCGTCTTTCAAAGTGCAAGTTCCGCGCGGATGCTAAAGATTTTTCCTGTAAAATGGAACTGCATAAGATTGTGGTTATTTGAATATTGTTGATTGACATCAAAAGACAATGTATCGTCTCCAAACCAAGCCAATGCCACTTCCACATCCACAAACCCGCAGCACGAATATAAGCTTATAAAATATTCAATAGTGCCAGAAGGCTTCTAACACTGCCCATCCAACTCGACAACAGAGACAAACACCAAAATTTTCCCTTTACATAGGGTTTCTCTTCTAATGTATTAAACAGCATAGGTGGCATCTACCTGAGTCCCAATGTTTTCTTTAAATATGACCAGCATCACAGTTTAGGGTTAGAAAATATAGCTGTGTCTAATGCACTTAGAAGAGATTGGAAAGACAACTTGTCAAAGCAAGTAAAAATGAACAACTTTTCATAAGCAGTATTAGCTGGCTAACACAGATGTTACGGTTTAAGAAATAATATGTAAACAAAAGAAAGAGAGTGCCCAGCAACAGAACCAAACCCATTTTAAATCCTAAAATTGTTGAAACACATATCAAGTGAACGTCGCAAAATTAATTGAAAAGCATACCAAAACACATTCCATAAGCATGCATAACTTGTTGGGTTAAGTGTAGGGATGGGAATAGGCCAGGCCGCCTATCAGGGGCCTACGGCCTGGCCTACATAAGGCCTAGCCTGGCGTGATCTATTTACTAAAAAGGGTCAGGTCAAAAAAAATTTTAAAGCTTTTTTATTTAAATAGAACAGACTTAGGCTTAAAAAAAAATCTTTTTAATTAACAGGTCAGCCTATTTAATATTATTATTTTTTTATAAAAATATTTTTTATAATTATATACTAAAAATAACTTTCTATCTAATAATAATATTTATTAAATAATTTTAATTATAAATTTATTATAAAAAATAGAATTTTTACCTTTTGTATATATTAAATAATTGTTTATACTTTATTTATTTTTTATTTCTAACTACATTTGCAGATAAATAAATAAAAATATTATGTAGTTTTTTAAATAGGCTTGTAGACTCAGGCTTAGACCAGATATTTTTAAAATGCCTATTTAGCCAAAGTCTGACCTGGCCTATTTCCATCCCTAGTTAAGTGTCCAACAAAAACATCTCCAAAACATTCGAAAAACCACAACACATGGCTTTTTCATCATTGAAAGGTTCAATGTATGTAAAGAGTAAAGACAGGCTAGAAGAATGGTAAAAATCTTGTAGCAATTTGTAGAGAACTAACAACATTAAAATGGACAGATCCCATCAGAAGAAGCATTGACAGTAGCTGATGTTCTATCTCATTTCTTCAAAAGCAAATGGAGAGTAACACATCTTTCATGAGCAAGACATTGTGGACACAAATTTTTTAAGCATAAGCATGTGTGTAAAAGCATCTAAAAATTCAAATGCTCATCATTTCCAAGCCACAACAAAAGAATAAATCAAAGTCATAACTACTCATTCCACTTAAAATACAAGTTAGTCCATATCAATATACAAACATTTGTATAAATGAATGAATCCTAAATGTCTTGCAGCCATTAATTTAATTCAGTGGAAAGAATTAAGTACTAACAAACAGAAAAAGTCAAAAGGCACATCACACTTCGCTGAATGGAGCATCTTTTGATAGAGTGGAAATGTTCAGCTTTCTGTTAAAACCTTTTTCACTGCTTAGATCAACTAATTTTAGTTTAAGTTCACAAAAACTGTCAACTTTAGATAAAGGAGTTCAGAACCAGTGTATTCAAATACGTTGTCAATATCAAAGCTACAAAAATATCAGATATAGATTGAGGTCCACTATTTTGAAGTTGATGTGATACACAAAAATAATGGTTTCTAATTTTTATAGCAACATATATATATATATATATATATTAGATGAAGTTGAAGATGCAACAGAGAAGATGCATCTTCCTCTCACAAACACAAGACCACTTCAATGCATTGAAGCTCAGAAAATTAAGCAATTGTCTATTGTAACTTGTTAAAGAAGTGTAAAAAAGAACTGGCTTACAAGTTGAAGAATCCAACAAAGTAAGGATGCATCCATGTTGCCAATCAATTGTAGGTTGGATCTTTAATAGCAGCCTCAAGAGAAATAGATACTTACTCGCAATGAAATATATTGCTAACACATAAAGCCTAGGCTTCACACACAAAAACCTGATAAAACATGCTTCCCAGTGCTATATGGTTATTCCTAAATCACTTGAGATGATAATTGGCACTAAGCCTTCAGGTTATTCATCCAACAATAACAACCATGCATACCAGCTAATGAAATTGCTTTAAATGATGTACAATATGTGAGATTGCATATGCACCTCTTTGAGGATTGTCAATATCTGTGAACTGATCAAGTGTGACTTAATGCTCGTGTAAGTTGGAAGTGTCAGAGTAAAGGTTTCGAAATGATCATTCTCACAAAGTAAATGAGCTACAAATGTGGATAATAAAGTTTAGGTTAAGTAAAATCTAACTTTGAAATGTAAGCGTCCCCTAATAATTTGTTTCCTATTTCATGCATACTCATCAGCTTTAATGAACTGTTGAGCTTTCTCACTATCTTTCTGTTGGGTATAGAGACGGGATATGGGGTTGCAAGTGGAAAACTTGAGAACGAGGTCACACAAATTGGATCATTAAGCACAGTTACAGTTTTCATGTATTGTCATTAGATAAAAAAGGACTGGTAATCCTAATGTCAATTATGATGAAATGCTTAATTTGGTTATGAACAGTATTAGTTGTAGGGCTGCAGAATAATTGCTGATAATATATTGTCTTCATATCACCTCAATGGAACTACATATTATCGATTCTGACAAACTTATACACAGCCCAAGTTGCAACAAGAGATCAGAAGAATGATGGCCTCCAAACAATGGGAATTGATCCGATAGAAAAGACCCTCATTCAAGGATGAAAGCAGTGGATGGAAATCAAACTGCAGATTGCATTTAGAACCAACACACGAACTGGAAAATGCTGTTGATTACAAGTACTGGATTTATGAAACAGGAACGATCTCTCAGTTAAAATTCGTTATGATGCAGTTGATAGTTCATGTACACACTGACTGCTAACCGAATATGAGCGTGATCCAGGAATAACGAGACACTCAATCAAGGCAGTTCAAATCAGATTTAGTATTCCTATAATCCTATCTCTCATTTCCATTAGGTGCACAGATTTAAATCAGCACTTTGATCCCTTGAGCAACCATTAGGTGAGAATTTCTTTTCCAGTTAAGGATAAAGAAAACCCTATTTATAATGATTCACCATTCTATCAAGCTGAATGCACACGGTCATGCTTCACCACCCTAACACAATGTCTTTTGAAGGCATGCCATAAAAGATATGGTACAGAGGTGCTTGGTGGACGACAACACTTCTATTGGTACCCAAATGTGAAAAGAACCATATGGCTATAAGAAGTCCGGTTGCAATGGGGCTTGAATAATATTATAGATCATGATTTAATTTTACACAACTATTGGTTTCAAGTTCCAAATATTTATGTAATTATTTTGCTTGATGTGATTATTTCTTGTGCAGCAATTACTTCTGTGTAGACCCCAATCTGTTGAACAGGCAGCATCCACTTCACAATGGTTAATTGATGTAGCTAGTCCATGCCAATATCAACACTAAAGGATAAGGCAACAAGTAGGAAAGAATAAGGGAAGAAACTTCACAAGTTTTCAAAAACGAAAGGGAAAAAGGAGAACGCTAATTTGATTCGAATTATGGTCCTAAGTGATCATAGAGTAATGTATATGAGCAGCAAATAATTGTCATCAGAATGTTACTGTCAAGCAATACCGTTAGTAAAAAGTTCGCTTTATGCACAAGGAAGGTCTATTCAGCACTATCTGATTGGAGGAAAGGATTCACTAATCAGGAGGTCCACTAATCAATTGTATGCCAATTAAAGCTAATACTTGAATTCTTCAGCCTAAAACTATAATTTGCATTGCCTAGTGGATCATGGAATTCAATTTTCCTTCAACATCAGGCGAACCATGTTAAAGCTTTTGATTCGAATTGGAGTTTAGCTAGGAAAAAAAAAATGGTCCTTCTTAAGGTGCCGAGAAAAGATAGCTTGGGTAGAAACGTGTATATGCAGCTGTGAACTGAACATTTCTCTGAAATGTTTTCAAGTACTACGATTATCCACCTCAGGCATATTGTAAGATGAGGAAATGAATGGCATTTTGAAGCGGTTGAAGAACTTGAACCATACATCTAGAATTAGATAGCATGTTTCCATGGAAAGTCAAGGTGCCAGTGGTGAGAAATGGCACTATTTGCAATTCTAACATGATAAACTTTAAGATCTTGTTCAAGTTGCAAGTGGAAGTCAACAGCTTCGCTTGATTTTAACTGACATTTGGGGGAATGGTTCCATGATGTGCAGTGAAGCTGTATGTATTTATTATCTCTTTCATCACTACCCAGAGATTTAAAAAACCATGAATTCCATAGAAGTAGCAATAAAAGAGTTAGACAAAGATTAACAACACTAACCGCCTTCGCAAACTCAATCCTAAGCGGATTGCCTCCAAGAGCAAAGCCCTGAAGTTCTTTAATCGCAGCAAAAGCATCGTCTTCGTTTCTGTAATTAACAAAAGCATAGCTCCGACCTGGCTGAAACGCAACGCTCTCGAGTTCCCCAAACTGCAGGAAGTGGTGGACGAAGGCTCTTTCGGTTAAACTGTGGGACAGATTTCCAACCCAGAGGTGCCTCGACGGGGGATTGTTCCCACGATCACCGCGCGATTTCTCTTCCGATCTTGAAGGGTAATCCCTGCGAGATCGGCCCCTTCCATCCATTGTTCTTTTTTCACCAGAACCGACGGCGACTACAACTGCCCCCGAAGTTCTGGATCCGAGCAGAGCCCAGCAGCCTCTAGGTTATCGGCAGCTGATCCCCGAATATTTCGAGAAATCGGCTCTCACGCAACGTCAACGGAGATTCTCGGACACAATTGAAGTTGTTAATTGAATCGAAACAGCAGGATTGAAGTTGATTGATTGTGGGGTTTGAGGGGAAGGCGTGGCGAGGAAGAAGAATCGAGAAGGTGTTAAAGATGCGGCGACGGCGGTAGTATCGGCGACGGCGGCTACGATGATGATTAGGTTTGAGATGAGAAAGGGGAGAAGGGTTCGAATCGGTATTATCCAAACCCAATTATCCAAACGAAAGTGGGTGGGCGGGTGTGGTTGGGTGGTGCAAAGTGCAATTGCTAATGCGAGCCGTCAACTTTTAACGCTGCTTCCCAATCCCATTTATTATCCTGATAGCCTCGTCCCTCCTTCCTATTTATTTTTTTGTTTTTTTGTTTGGGGGGTTGGATTTTGGATTAGGATTTGAATAGTGAAATATTTAAATTGAAATAGTTGTATGATGTGATATAAATAAGTATTAATGTGATATTTTGAATGTAAAATTAATTTTTAGTGTAATATAAAACATAAAAAATAGACGTTTGATTTAAAAATTTTGGAAGAATAGTACAAATTCTCTAAAATCTTTCAAACAAACACATAAGAATTTTTACCTTTGTTGAAATTAAAACAAGATGAATGAATATATTTTTAATTTTCGTAGTTTAGAAATATAGAGATTCTAAAATTCTTCGCTTATAACTGAAACGCTGTTAAATAAGGACGGATGATGAAAAGTTTGTCGCCAAAGTTGAAAGTACTAGACATTTGGCATAATTTTGTAAAATTGAGCATGAATTATATGTAGTTTACCTTAATTTTATTTGTATTTTAATCCTTCAAATTAAAATACTTTTTTATAAATATTATTAAAAAATTATAAAATATTTGATCTGCAGTAAGTTTTTTATTTTATTTTTATATATAAATTAAAATAAATTGATATTTTATAAATATATAAGTATAACAAAATAGTATAATATCTATTTTCTCTTTGACATTAAAGTAAAATTAATATGAAAAGGTAAAAAATAATGATATTTTGATATTTAGTTGAATTTTTTTTTTTTTTTAAAAAAAAGGAAATTTTGATTAATGGCTAATGTGATTGTTGTCTTATTATTATTAAATTTTATACTAAGGACGTATTATATATTTTAAAATTCAAACTTTAATTGAATCATCTTGAGTGGATTGCAAATTTGAAATAAAAATTAAAAATTTTCTCCAAATTTGGCCACATCTCAAATCTATTTAAATCAATAATTTAAAAAATTAATGTTATATATTTATATAATTTATATATAGAATTTTATACTTATATTGTTTTTAGTTTCTTTAATATTTTCATAATTTTTCAAGGGTATTGTAAACCTTGAAGATGCAATATGTTTGAAAACTTTGATGAATAAAAATACATTTGGTCGAATAAGAGAAATAATTGATTTTTTTTTTTTTTTTGACTTGAAAATAATTAATTTGTGGCACAAAATTGTAATATGGACTAACTATGTTAATTAGAGAGTAATTAACTATAAAATATTGGAATTTTGTCCTACATAAAAAAAAAAAAAAAAAGAATTTGTATTTCAATAAAATTGTGATTAATTAACGTGACAAGAAGTATTATCAAAGACATGAATGTCCATAAGCCGTAATATTTAATGTTATTACAGAATACTAGTAGAGTTGAACTTTGTCTACTCAACTTCTTTTGAAAGTAATGTCAATATTTTTACACGATAGACTTAATTGATTATAGTAAACAACACAGAATTTTTAAACATCAGACGATCCCTCATCGATTAAAACATTTTAACAATCAAAAACTTGTGAAAGGAAATAAGTAGTTGTGTCCTAATCATACATTTTTTTTGTTGTACAACTTCATCATAGTTCTAAATTCTTAAAAAAAAAGTTATTACGTAATTCTTTTAATTTCAGATAATAATCACAATAAAAGTAAAAATGATTATTCAACCACAACTGTGTAGAATATAAATTACGTTTTCTTCAACAATCCTTATATCAAAATACATTTATTTCCACCGGCTAGCCTCCATTGAAGCTACACGAATTTTAATTTCTTATGATACATTTATAGTTACATACCGATATTATAATTATCGAGCAGTTTGGATGGTGGGCAAGCTCCACATGATTTGCAACATGCTTTTACGCAACTTTTACAGACAAAACCGATACCGTCAGCAGAACAACCCATGAAACAATCGGACAGGCATGTCGCATGTGAACATTCGGGCAGCACGAGTGCCAGTCATTACAAATATTACAATGACTAGATTAAATTGTTTCATTATTTTCTCTTTGTTAATGAAATAATTTAAAAGTATTTTGTTCAGAGAATATATATTTTCTTCGTATTGTTGTATTGCTATTGGTATGAATTTCACTTTTTATAGATAATTTTTCTAATAATATAAAATACAATTATTACAATATGAATAATGTTATAAATATATTAAAGAAATACTCTAATTACAACATATAATACATTTATAGCTATATTATAACAATTATAACAATATTTGTGAGTAATTTGACATATATAAACAAATATTGTGGTAATATTTTAACAATAGCTTATAATATTTTAACATTAGTTTGACATAAAAATATTGTGGCAATATCATTTTTAAACCAATCCAAAATTTTAAATATTTTTTAAATACATTTAAACATGATATTAATTTTGAAAAATATCACAAACACAATGGCAGCAGCGTTTTTAAATGCCTTGATTTTTAGTGTGTGATATAGAGAATTATCCTAAAAGTATAGAATATATTATTTTAAATTAAATATTTAACGTTTTTAACCTTTTGTAATAAGTATTTTTTATTTTTTTTACCATTGTAAAAAGTTTTTTGTGTTCTTTATTATTATTATTTTTTTAAATGACAATTGAGAAATAGCATCGGAGAATAAAGTGAATATACTCATCAAATAAAACTACACAACAAAATGTTTGTTTGGTTTGAGTTTTCAAAATTCCTAATTAAAAATTTTAACTATATTTTTAATTAAAAATATATTCTTTCGTATCATTAAATAAATAACATGTAAAATTTTATTTCACCTAAAAAATAATACAAATCAAACAACACAAACCCCGTATAAGTTCGCTTGATGTGATTTACCTTGTCGAACTTAATTTGCAGATTATTAGACTCGGATGGAATTTTACCCAAAATACACCCGAATAATAACGATTGTGAATGAATTTTTTATTATTTTTTTTCTTTTTCTTTTGTGGATTCCCACGTTAAGTTGCAAGTTGTACTTTGAAATTAAATTTTACTATTGAGTATTAAATTATTATTGATAGTAAATTGAATTATAATTTAATGCATTTGATTAAAAATAATTTAATATATATATAACATTTTTAAAATATATACTTTAATAAATTGTATTCAAAATAAATTTTACAAAAAAATAACTTTTCTATATATATTAATTCATATAAAGAACAAAAAAATAGTGGATACAAAACTTGTATGTGCATAATATGAACAAAAGCTAAAATTAACAAACTAGAAATTACCTTATTTAATAATAGAAACTTGTTGGCCAAGCAATCTTCATTTTTAAATACTAAAATTAAGGGTATGTTTCTTTACTTTAAATTTCTTAAATTTTACTATTTGAAATCTGCGATACATTTTTTTCTCTCTCACAAAATATCCCATCAAATATTATTTTAATATCAAATTCAAAGCAAAATTTTACCAAACTTATATAAAAAAAAAAGGGTATGTTTCTTTTAATAAGTTTTAAACTTTAAATTCTATAAAAATTTAAATTACTTTTAGAATTTTTAACACTATTTCTAAATAATGGTGAAGAAGTGTAACTCAGACGATTAAGTACTCTTTAGCAACTTTGTGGAATACAAAAAACAAAATAACAAAAAAATTACATTAAATGTATGTTCTTTTATCTTATAAAAACATATAATTAAATAATCAATTTCTTACAAACTAGACTATCCAAGTGTATGTTCTTTTTTAATTTAGTTTCATTTTTTTCTTAAAACCATCATAAAAAAAAAACACCCCATGTATATATTAGTCAGCTTGTATAATTAGCCTCAATTATCAAATTAGTATTATGCCTTCTAAAGCACAAATCTCACAAAAAAATAAAAATAAAAATAAAATTAAAAATTAAAAATTGCGAAAAATATTTTACAGAGGACATAATCGTACCCCTAAAATACAAACGAACACATATCAATTACACCAAAAAAATTAAATAACCACAATACATATGAACGAGATTAAAATAGTCTGCAATATTCAGCCAAAGTTTATCCAAAATACACACTCAAAGAGTAGCGATTATAAATTTCTATATATATATATTACCTTTAAAAATAAATTAAAATATATATCAAACACCTTATCTATAGCTAGCTCCAATTTTCCAGTCCCGGCGACAAGTTAAATTAAAAACAACCTTAGCATCAACCGCCGCCGCCGCCGCCCCCACAGCCGCCGCCGCCGCCGCCGCCGCCCCCACCACAGCCGCCGCCACAACCTCCGCCGCCCCCACCACAGCCGCCGCCGCCGCCGCCACCTCCCCATCGTCTTCGCCGCCTCCGCGGCCTATCGACGCAAGCAAATATGAAGACAGAAATAAGTGAAACAGACAGAAGAATCATTCCGACGGTGTAGGAAGCCTGAGAAATTATGTCACCGTTCCCACCTGCAAGAAATCTTATTGTTGCTCTGCCCATAATATGTTAATAATATTTAGTCTTGTCTTGAATAATATGTATATATATATAAATTATTTAAAGACTTGTAATGTCCGTTGCAGCATAAAGAATGGCTACTCACCATATTGTCGTGAGGCCATAAGTCAATATTATAAGAAGCAGCCCAGAATCTGGCAAGAAATTTCTACTTTAATTAATATTCCATGTCTAATAATATTCTTCTTGCTTTGCTGTAACATTCAGACTCACGCATGCATATATATTTATATATATATATATATATATCTCTAATTAATATCTATATATTTGTAAATTTGCTTAAGTCTAATTATTGTAATTTGGGAGATTTATTAAATTCGATTGAAGATGTATTTGTGTATCTCTGTAATTTATTTAAAAGATATATAATATTCTAGACACGTTAGGAGATTTCTGGACTTAATTAACATATTTTTTGAATTAATTAGAAAAAAGTGTTTCACTTTCACAAATAACAGGTTATGTACAAAAAATTTATATTTTTTTGTAAGAAAAAATTAATGAAAATTCATACCAAATATATCACAATTAAAATTATTGTATTCGAAGTTTTTCTAACCACAAATTAGAGGCAGAAATGATAAGGCTGGATACTAATTTTCAACCGTAAATTTCCCTTTCTTTGCTACCTTAATCTTTGACGACTATTCTACGAAAAATTACAAATCACTACGTAAATACCATGTTAAATAATTTACAATAAAATCAATTATTTATTGTAGAACAATGGATAGTTTATTTTTATTGTGTAATTAAAATTTATATATACATATATAAAAATTAGTACAACATATATACTTAATTAAATAAAGAAGTTAGACTTTTCTATCTTATCAAAATCTTAAAAGTTAAATAGCAAATACACAAACTAATTAGGGCTAATTACACAAATGTGTATTTTAACACGAATACATAAAATATTCAATATATATTAATATATTATCACATACTTTATATTCATATTAGAAAGAAATATATATACACACATCTTGATTTAATTTAATATAATTATAAATATATTTTGCATATAAAATCATCATATATATATATATATATTATTTACCCAATGAAATAATTGGAAACTTACAACTCAACCTACATAATATAGTAAGTCAAATTAAATAGATGAAAATTATTTTATATTGATATATATTTATTTTATCAGGAAACAATGATACCTATACACGTAAGTACATAATATTTTCAAATTAAAATTTGAATATTCTATAATAATTGATTCGTAAAGGAATCCACTTCATGTCACATTGAATTTTATATCTGCAGAGAGAAATTATGAGATGTTCTCTTTGATTTTGTTTTTTTCAAATTTTTAACTTACTATTACGATTTGTGATAAAAATACATAATTTTTTTTTTCCTTTAATATCATATCCAATCTATTATCTAAACTAAAAATATATATAAAATATAAAATCAAATCCACCTTAAATCTATAATGAAAAAAAATAAAATAAAATAAAAATAATTTACAAGAAACTAGTCAATAAACCAAATCAAAGTCAATGCCCTCTCTCTCGCTCTCTCTTGTTTTATTATTATTATTATTATTAAGAAAATATTTTATTGTATTGCAAGCCTTCTTGGCTAAAGGTCAAAGTCAGATTGTAAAGTGTTGGCAATTATTTTATTTATTTTTATATATATATATATATATTTTTAAATTTTGTAATTAGCTTGCTATGTGTTTTCTTTAATTTTACGCAATATAGAATTAAATTCTTATGGCGACAAATCAACAACTAAGACATTTCTAAGAAAGTAGATTGGATGCAATTTATCTACTTTGGACCATTAGCATAGTTGAACGTGGCAAGCCAATAAATAAATAATGTAATATTAAAATAATTAGCCGACAACTTGCAGCTGATTCAATTAGCTGGTTTGACTAGCTGATTCGATTAGATATTTGTATTAAAATATTTGGTAAAACAACTGTTTAATATTAGCTGTTTATATATAAAATGACAATTGAGGATATTTCTGTTTTATTTTTTTCTAATATATTCAATTGTGTTCTTGTGAGTTTAGAATGTTTAAAAATTTTTGTTATTAGTTATTGAAAATTGTAAAAGTGTTATAAAATAATATTTATTTTTATTGTAGTTAAATTTTAAAAATAATATATTTTTATTGAAAAATATAAATAGTTTTTTCTATTGAAAATAATATAAAATATAATATAACAAATTTTTAGTTTATATATTTATTAGGTTAATTATCGATTAGTTCATCATATTTATAATTTTCAATAAATTTAATTTATTTATATTTTTAATTATAAAATTTATATAATATAATTTTAATATAAAAATAAATTATTATTATTTATATTTTCTATTTTGTGTTGATTTTATTAAATTTATATATATAAATTAATTATTTTAAATTTATAAAAGTAAAACTATAATATAATAACATATTCTAATATAATTAATAAATAATCAAAATATATTTATGTATGTAGAATGCATAATAAACTTTTAATGGCAAATAAGGAATAAAAAAATTTAAACTGAAAAAGCTATTTCAAAATGTAGGTAAATTACTAGCTTTTCAAAAATTAGTTTTTTTTGTTCCAAAAAACTATTTTGAAAAGCTAATTTACCAAATACCTAAATTAGCTGTTCAAACAACTAAAAACTGTTCAATCAATTAAAAAGCTCTTTGCTAAACACCTTCGTAGCCTCGAAATTTTTTCGACTATTTAAATAATTTCGGATAATCCGAAATAATAAAAATGGCAACTAAATCTATTCTTTGGGTACCGTTCCAATGCAAATTTGCAGTTAAATAAAAATTGTTGTAGAATTAGTTTAAATTCTTAATCAATTTTTCAAAGCAATTGACAAATTTCTCACAGTGAATATTATATTGAATAAGAAGATATATAAACTAATTGAACTCAAATCTAATATAGTTGAATAGCTATAATTACATAGATGAAATTATAAAGGGGAAAGAATTATGTTACTTTCATTAAATAGCAAAGTAATATATTGTGTTTGTTTTGGGGTTTGGATTTTGAGGTGGGATTTGAATAGTAAAAATTTTGAATTTGAATAGTTGTATGATGTGATATAAACAGGTGTTGATGTGATATTTTGAATGTAAAATTGATTTTTAGTATAATATAAAAAATGAAAAATAAGTGTTTGATTTGATATTTTTGGGGGAAAAAAATGGGATGAACAGTGGTAATAAAATCCAATCCCCCAAACAAACACACTTCTCTTTCAAGATTTTTATTTTGTAGAGAGTTAAATTCCCCATGTCTAATTAAGAAGGAAGAAATTAAATCAGATTTTTATAATGTTTTAAAACCAAATATTTAACCTAAAAAAAGTGATAATAATAAATTAACAGGCATACAATAAAAATCCAAAAAAATTGCCATTTTTATCTGTATCTCATATGATATTAATTAGAATGTAAAATAACACAATAAGAGATACAGATGTGACTGTTTATTTTGCCCATTCTGCAGCACAAAGCATCACAGTCTTGTTGTCTAAAGGAGAAATAAAAATTATTTTTAGTTAGTTTACCATTCTTGTTTATTTCCACTGAATGCATATTTTAACCCTAATAATCGATTGCAATATATAATCCCCGATTTCCACAATTACACAAACAAAAAGTGGCAAACTGTATGCTTCACATCATCGATCTAAACTTCCAAACTATTACAACCTTAACATACATACTACATTAATTCTTGGCCTTAATGTTCATACAACACCAACCATAAACAAACCAAGCATTTATCAGTATGATTAATTATACCTAGACATTGCCCTTTCATAAGAATTAAATTTCTTGCAAACCCTAATCCATAAAATTAAGACATTTTTCATGAATAAGATTCTCCGAGATAATCACATAATGGCGCAAGCTGCGCCGGTTGTGGTCTCGGATGCTTGGTAGCAATTGCAATTTGGATAAAAATAGTAGTGGGAAGGAGGCGGCAAAAACTGAGGTATCTTGGCTAAGGCATGTCCTTCATTGACCTCAACAATTCTGACAAGCTCGGCACAGGCCACCTTCTTCCTGATCCGTCGTGTCAGCTCCACCGAGTCAATGCCATGCCCGACCACCTCGACATGGTTCTTCTCTGGCCCGGTCAGCGCCACCGACTCTACCCCTGAAAACCCTAAAATATTTGAAGAGAAAAAAAAAAAAAAATTATGTTCATGTGTTGGTAATTATCGATGTAATGACCTGACATGCCAACGGCAATATGGAGCGCTTTGGATCGAGACTTGTCGCTTTGCATTGAGACCCTAATCAGTATCTTTTGCTGCAGATGAAAAACAAGTTAGTTAGTATAGTGAAGTTGTTTGGAATTTTATTTGTGGTGTTGGAATTCTTTGAAGAAGAAATTAAATTAGGAATAGAGAGATGGTTTTTTTGTAGTTTTTTGTTATGTAATATGATACCTTCATTCTCTGGTGATGAGGAAGACTGTAGAGTATGAAAATTAAATTTGGAGGGAGATTAGGGTTTTGTGAAAGGCCTTTGATGAATTAATGAGAATGGGATGTAATGGCAATATATATGTGTACTTTATTTTAATGTTTCTTTTCTTCTAATTTTGGTGCAATATAAAAGTTATTTTGGCCCAAAATACAATACAATTTTGACACTGCATTAGTTTTAAATATGATGCAATATTTTATTTGAATTTAGAGATTAAGTATAATTATTTATTTTTTATTTTAAAAATATTATAGAATATTTGAAACTAATTAAAAAAAAAATTGCAAGTACGGATTTTAGTAGATTAAGCGTGGCTTGGTATGATGTCACCGCAATAATTTTTTCGATAGTGTTTTAAAATATTGCAAAGCATTAAATAAGTATATTTACACATTTGGAATTTATGAGGTGTTTTTTTAATGTTTTTAATGTGTTTTATTTCACATTAAAAACATAAAAAAAAAAATAAAATAAAATGGACCATTTGTTATTTTGTGATCTAAATTCTAAAGTGGGCCGTTATATATTGTTGTAATTGGGTTGGGTATTTTAGATGACCTAATTTTGAGGCCTAGGCCATTTATTTGTATGATATATTTTAAAATTTTGAATTGGTTTAAAAATAATAAAATATTGAATTGATAATATATGTTTAATATAGTATAAATAAGTATTGAAATTTAAAT